ATTACCCACTAAAGAACCATTCCTCTTTAAACTCGGTTGTGAGCCAAGATGGCAGCCAATTTTCCGTATTTTGACTGGGCACTAAAAATTGAAGATTTGAGCAAATAAAAAAAATTTTGCACAGAAATACTCCAAAAAAACCCTTTTTTGTTAAGCTAAAAAAAAATTTTGGGTTTAGGTGCACTTTAAACAAAATAGGTGAGATGCAAATTAGCAGGACAGGTATTCAGAATCATTCCTATTTTTATTTTATATATACCCTGCATAGATGCAGTAAGCTTTTTTATTACATTTTTCTTTGTAATGATCTTTATCAAGTAATAATTGGATTACAATATCGTAAAACAGGTAATGATGCTGAAATCCTACAAATTCCAGCAACAGATGGTAAAGATGAGTTCTCTATTTATATGAAGCCTTGTTATGTAATATCACCAGAAGCATCTGCTGTGAATGAACTTACCCTCCAAAGAGGAATACTGTTTTATGATGGGAAGCCAATCACTGATGCCATTGCAACTGATGTGGCCCTGAAGACCTTAATTGAAAATTGAAAATCAAGAATGCCTTGCACTTTAGTTGTACACAATTGCAAATCCTTTAATGCCAGGTTCTTGGTGCAAGCAGCAGAGAAAAATGGAGTCATGGAGGACTTAGTTAAAGCAGTTTCTGGCTTTACACTCTCTCTTCCAGCATTCAGGGAATTGCTTCTTGAAAGGAAATCCCATAGCCAAGAAAACCTTGTACAAGATCTTCTGTGTAAATCCTATGAAGCTCACAATGCTCGTGCAGATGTGCAAACACTCTACCAGCTAGTGAACAATGTTCTAAACGTCAAACTGCTACAACAGCACAGCTTCAAAGTTTCATGGGTGGCATCCTATCAGAAGCTCCTATAAGAAAAGAAACTTCTGGTTAATACCCTGCAGCCATTAGTTAGAGAGAAGTACATTACAGCCTCAATGGCCATTAAGTGTACAAGCTCAGGTTTGGGTCTCCCTCTCCTACTCGTGGCATGCCAAAGAGGCAAGGAAGAAGGGGTAAAGCAAGTTCTGATGGAGAGGTTTGACAACAAACCCAAAGTCTCCTCAAACAAGCAGGTGCTAGGGCAAATATGTCTGTACTCTATAAATAATGCAAATTAAGATTGTGATTTGTGCAATTAATGTTTTGAAATCATTTTTGCACAGAAAATGTAGTAGTCAGAATGAGGACCTGTGAGATAATGAAGCGTGGTTCTCAGTGAAGTATAAAAAGCAAATTTTAAAGTGCAGTTTGTATTTTTCAGAGTATACTACATTGTACTGTAGATATCACTTTTCGATATTTCATATTTCCAACGTGAGTTTTGACTTATTAATTACGTGATTACCTATTTTATACATTGTTAATTTTGAGGGCCTCACTGAAAACCGCTATGGCGAGCTGGACTCCCTCTTTAAATATTTTTTAATTAAAAACTCCTGTTTGAGTGTTGGGTGAAGAATTCCCATTTTGCTTTGTACAGAAACCAAACAAGAAAACATAAAAAGAATAGGAATCAACAGTCTTTTCTTCGAGTTTCTTTGTCAAGCCTTTATTGCCCCAAAGGAAAAAATATTGAACCGTAGCTCACTGGAATTAACAAAACGCCAGCGCTACAAAACAGTTTCAACTAAAGGTTTATAGCTTCAAAATCTCATCAAATCTTGACTTACCTCATATCTGTTATTTTTGCACGCTTTCCAAGTATGAATTTCTGTGTTGGCGATATCAAACACATGAAAACAACCGAAAACAAGCTTAATATCGTGTGCATACTTCGAAGACGAGGGGCGCCATTTTGTGTCTCGTCCCAGTCCTCAGCGTGTACATTCTCTATCCTCACTTTGATCTCAAAACCATGTCCACCTTTCACGACAGTTTGTGAGGAGACAAGCACGGCGACACCCGGTTTTTTTTTTTTTTTTTTTATTTGCTATGAACAGTCTAATAAAGAACATATTTGAAGAAGGAAAAAAGTTTGATAGTAGAACATGATTTATTTGGAAAATAGTTCCGTACCTGGTGTATTTTGGCCAAGGCGAGGATTTCAAGCTAACCGCGAAACTGTCCGAAAAAGTGCAAAATCCCCAAAACCAGGCGGCGATCAAAAACAGCTAAAAAGAAGCAATGCTACTTATTTTGATAAAAGAAGCTTTAATTTCAAAATAAAATTCTGTGTGTTTCAAGTTACCAAGACTAAATTATGTATAAAGGTGATTTTGTTTCGAATTTTTAATGCACAAGCAGTAAAAATACTCCATTTTAAGAGCCCGCTGACGCGTAAACAAGCAAGGTGACCCCACTTTTCTATTGCATTTTTTTTAATGTTTATATCATGAATTACCTTAAGTCACCTTAAGTCGACTTAAATCGCCTAAAGTTGCAAGTTTTTTTTGCCAATTTTGCTTAAGTCGCCTTAGGTCGCCTTAAATTGCTCAAAGTCGCCCAAAGTTACGGGGACTTAAGACCCCAGAGTAGGCCTGAATTGGGAAACAAACTGTACATGCTAACAAGTCTGGTCTAGAAAGTAAAGACGAAAATTTTATATCCGAGCCTGCAAATTGTCCGACCTACAATTTTGCAGACTTTCTTGTCTAAGTTTTTAATTTGGTTTATGACTTGTACCTCCATCACTGATCATCACACAACTACAACCTTATCAAGTTTTTACATAAGTTACATAAGTTAAATTGACCACTCCCCATAAGGGCTTTTCAGGGCCAGCACCCACCCATCCCACCCCAGGGGAGGACATCCACCACACAGTAGTCTCGTGCGTAGGAAATTAACGTCTACTACCCCTAACCCTGCAGGAGACGGGGCCTACGGTTTATTCGTCCTTATCCGAGAAGACTAGATTATCTATCCATTTCTTATTATAGAAAGGTAGCAAATTCCCCTTAGTTATTTTATGACCATGAGTATTGATCCGGGCGGGGCTCGAACCCTCCACCTCTCGCACAACACAATCCGGCGCTCTTACCAATTGAGCAAATAGCA